TTGTGAAGCTTTTATAATTTTCTACATTTCTGCATAAATATGACCTAAAACATCGTCATATTTTCACACAAGTCCTAAAAGTAGATAAAGAGAACCCAGTTAAACAAATGAGACAAGATATTATACTTGGTCATTTATTTATTGAGGAAAATGATCCAAAATGAAATATTTGTGAGTGGTAAAAGTATATGAACCTCTAGGATTATCAGTTAATTTGAAGGTGAAATTAGAGTGAGGTGTTTTCAATCAATGGGATGATGATCAGGTGTGAGTGGGGAACCTGCTTGATTTAAAGAACAGGGATCTATCAAAGTCTGCTCTTCACATCGGAGATCCATCCATCCATCCATCCATTATCTTTACCCGTTTATTCCATTTTGGGTCACGGGGGTCACTGGTGCCCATGTCCAGCAATCACTGTGCGAGGGGCGGGGGACACCCTGGACGGGTCGCAAGTCCATCACAGGGACACATAGAGACAAACGAGACAAACAAACATTCACTCTCTCACTCACACCTAGGGACAATTTAGAGTTACCAATCAGCCTAACATGCATGTTTTTGGTCTGTGGGAGGAAACCGGAGTACCCGGAGAAAACCCACGCATGCACGGAGAGAACATGCAAACTCCACCCAGAAAGGCCCCTGGACCGGGGTTTGAACCAGGGACCTGCTTGCTGAGAGGCAGCAGCTCTACCAGTTGCGCCACCGTGCTGCCCCACATCGGAGATCAGTTAGCTTTAAATTACTGGGCAAATCTGAAAGGCCATGAACAGACCCATCCAACACAAGAAGTACTAAAACCATGCTGGGAAAAAGAAATGCAACACGAAAAGTTTTGGATGGACCATAAATCAAAAATCTGTAGAAATTCAAATAGATGATCTTAATGTCAGCCCAACAGTACCACCTTCAATCATTCACCCATGCTTACTCACAGACTCAACAGTTGATAAAAGTATTACCACAGAATAGAAATGGATTAAACTCAAATACAGTTATTGAATACATTAATCAGTATTATGGTTATGTAAAAATACACACAGATGCATCAAAGAATACAGCAGATTGAATCGGGGCAGCATGAATTATACCAGAGTTTGGAGTGAAAGTAGGAAACGACAAATTATCAGTCTACACAGGAGAAATGCTGGTCAAACTACTAGCTGTTCAATGGATAGAAGATAATCAACCACTCAGATCAATAATGTGTTCAGATTCTAGTTCATCATTAATTAATTGAAAAAAAAAAGTTATTCAGAATGCATACCAGACATATTGATAGAACTACAGCAAACATATAGAATTAATCAGAATCAGTTTATTATCGCCATGTCAATGAACGAGGTTCACAAACTAGGAATTTGCTTCGACATAAGGTGCGAATAGTAATAAAGTAAAATAAAGTAAAAATAAAGTAAAAATGAGAACATTACATAACCACATGTACACCCATACAATAGAAAACAATAAAAAAGCTTAGAGAACAGTACAGATGGAGTATTCAGTTATAATACAGATGTAATGTGACCAAAGCAGAAATTATGAGGTAGCATTATGAGTGTTCAGGAGTCCAACAGCAGAGGGGGAGAAACTGTTCTTATGGCGGGAGGTTCTGGTCCGAATGGACCGAAGCCTCCTGCCTGAGGGGAGTGGTTCAAACAGTCCGTGTGCAGGGTGAGCAGGGTCAGCTGTGATCCGACCTGCTCGCCTCACAGTCCTGGAGACGTACAGGTCGTGGAGGGATGGAAGGCTGCAGCCGATCACCTTCTCAGCTGAGCGCACAACGCGCTGCAGTCTGAGTCTGTCCC